ATTTTCTCTTCTGATTTAAAGCCATGTCATAATTTCATTTGATTTTGAGTGAACTTTGGTGCATTGATTTTTCAATATTTGATAAAAAATCAATCAACTGAGTTTATTTGATAAACAAAATATTCAAATTATGTTTTTGATTTAAAAATAATGAAATATATTCAATAATTTTGAAGTGAACTAAAAAACTTTCACAACATAATATAAAATATACTTAGTGCGGTAGGATACCCATCCATGGTATCTTGATGAAAAGACAATGACATGTATGTAAGGCGACACTTTTAAAAAAGGATGGACCCTTGTCATTGACGATAATGATGACCTTCATTAATAGCTGTCTCTCAACGAGGAGTGATTTTTCCGTACAGAGAAAGTACGTAGAAATTTGTACGGTCTCTAATCACAACCTTCATCTTTAATTTAAAAAAAAATAAAAAAAATAAAAAGTGGGGCCTATTGTCATACACTTTTTGGGGGATGGACGACTGTGTTTGGGTCCAAACACGGTACTTTGTACGGTTTCCGCGTGCAACTTTTTTTCCTCCCCGAGTGGGCGAGGAACCTCTTAGGAGGGATCAATGAGATTCAACACTTCGGCTAATGTGCTTGATTTCATTTATTAAGTTGATGAGCTTGATTCAATCACTTCGATAGGTGGGAATAATTTAGTGTATTATTTTTCGTATTTAGAAAACACAAAAGAAAATATGTATTTACGTATACAACCGCATTCGTGCGTACAAGTCTTAATCTAAAAACAAATTAGATAATTTCTTAAACAAACTCCATTTCTACAATTCATTCAAGAATATTTCAACCTAATTTTTTTTTTCTTTTTAGTACCACGTAAAAATAGTAATTAGGTCCTAACCCTATTTATACAAGAAGCTTAGGACAATTTTTTTTCAAATTTCTATACATTATAAAATAAAAATAATATTCTAAAAAAGAAACATTTACATACATACCACTCAATTCCTATATATTTACATATCTAACACCTAATCTTAATTTTTCTTACATGCATGCCCCTTAAATGTTGTCTTCCCATTTCCACAAATGAAAATAATGATATTTTTTTATGTTATACGAAAGATTTAGGGCAGCTTATAAGTACGGTACCGTTTTCAAAACGTCGCTGTACCGTTTTCGTGCAGATTTAGGGCAGCTTATAAGTACGGTACCGTTTTCGTGTGTTTCGGCAGCTTATCTGAAACTGAGTTTGAGTTTTTACACTAAACGCAGGCCACGGGTCGACCCCTGCGGTCAGCCCGCGGGTCGCTTTTTAGGATAAGCAGCTTATCCTGAAGCGCACAAGTTGCCCCAAACGGACTCTTAATTGATTGGTATAAATATAAAAAAGCAAAATTTAGGTGGAAGATATGTAAATACTTAAGAATTCTTTAGAAAAAATCAGTTATCTTAATTCTTAGTCAAATATTTGACAAAAGAAATGATCAAACATATGCTCATATATATAATATAAATAGAAGTGGATAGAAAATGAAGAAATAAGTCCCTAAAGCTAATTACAGAAATGAAGCTGCTGGCTCCGCTGCTTCTTCTGCTGCTGCTGCATGGCTCAATGGCAGCACAAGTGGTAGAAGACAAGTTTGCTCGTGAGCTTATGGAAAGTAATGAGAGAGCAGAGCCTCCCCCTCCACCTCCTCCTCAACCCAACGTAATCATTTCTCCAACTTCAAGCTTGTATCCATAACTTCATGTCGGTCGGATGTGCAGATGACGGCGTGAATAGCACCATGCCATGTTTGGTGGTGTGGCGCAATTTACGCCGTCAATCAAATCTCAGATTTATTGTATGTAATATTTTATCGAATTGTTGAGTTATGGAAGAACATGTTCTGTTTATGTTTATCGTAAGAGTTAAGTGTATGATCCTAGTTGTGAAATGATAAGGATTGATTTGGTGGTTTACGCCTTCATTTTTATCTTTGAAGTCATGAGATGTATATATCATCTTTGAAGTCAACACACATACACACGCACACTATCTACATATATACATATATGTATACATGTACATATCTACATATATGTATATATATAGATATCTACATACATATATGTAGATATGTATATATGTATATATGTACATATACATATGTACATATATAGATGGACATATGTATATATAAATATATATATATAACATATATAGATGTGTGTACACACATCTATATATGTTTGTTTATGATAGATATGTGTATCTATATGAGTGTGTGTGTGTCTGTGTGTGTTGTAAAATAATATGTGTAGTTGTAAAATAATGTTATGAGTTTTGATTATAAATTTTACAAATATGTTACTTTCTTATGAAACATGGTTATAGATGAGTTAATTCACATTACTTTTACTTCACAAAGCCAAAACCCTTAATCTCTTTTTTTTTAATGATGAAAATATATATTTTTTACTTTATATTATTATAATCAACTAAAACATATATTTTTTCAATAAAATTTGCATTTATCTATATATATTTTTTTGAATGATAAATTTTCAATATTGTAATTTTTTCATGAAAAAAATTCCTACATAAAAACAAGAAAATGATTTTTTTTTTCTCCTTTCAGAACTTATAAATATTTTACAAATTTTTAAATATTTATGATAAAGTATATTTTATAAATATTTAAGAGAACTTCTTTAAAAAAGTCACTAGAAAAGATAATTGAATAGAAAACAAAGATATGTCTCACCAATGCTAAGTTATTCAAAGTCAATTTCCCATTCAAAAGGCTCATTAATTAATGTCTAAAAATTTAACTTCTGGCTTGATTAAAGTATATATTCTCTCCATCTTAATTTTAATTCTACTTCTCTATGCAAAGATGATATTAGGCTTGATTAACGTCTAGCTTGTTGTTTTAAATTTAAGTTGGGAGTTTTCCTTCGACTAGTACATGCATGTTTTTGAACTTGCAAGCTATGATTGGCATATGATTTGTGGCACTCTAGGCTTTCTAGGATTTATTGATGAAAAGTTAGCAAAAATGTTTTGACTTGATCTATGTTGGAAGAGGAGAAGAAATAATACATAAAGATAATTAAGAAAACACCAAGAAAGGAATGCATAAGAGAAGACAATTACTTGAAGAGAACACAATTGGAAAAGGGATAAAAAGCACTTCAAAAATAAAAGAATATCACCATAATTCTAGGGAAAGAGAAAACTATAGGGAGGCAAGCCTCAAGCCATCCATTTTTACATGGTACTTATGGATTCTCCCTAATTTGCCACATGAATTATACTTCATTTACTAAAACTCATGCTCTTTGATATCCTTGTTCATGAAGTCCATTTTGAAAACTAATACTAATTTTTTTGTTTTGTTGATAATTAGGGTATCAACAATGGAAGCTATACATTTAGAAAGACAGATGTAGACCTAGGAAGACTTGGGCTTATTGTATAAAAAAGTGATCTTAATTTATTAGAACTACATGAAAATATGACACTAAATAGGGCTCGATAGAGAAAAAGGATTCATGTAGTAAGGCTTTATTGTTGTTGTTGTTGTTGTTGTTATTGTTGATAATTTGGGCAACAAATTCAAACTCTCATATAAAATAATTGGTTCCAATGTGAAGAACTAATGACATATAATCATTTCTTCTTTTCAATCCACTCTTACAAATGCTTAGATTAGCAAAATCTTATTTTATTATTTCATTTTCTTATATTTTGAAATGAAAGTGTTATAATTTAACCGCTTATTGTCTAGTCATATTATAAAATAGACATAAATAATTATCTTATGATTGTATTTGAATTACATGTTTTATCTCTATGAGATACATACAAATCTAGAAAAGATATTTTCTTAAATAATTAAATTTCATTATATATATATATATATAAACACAATTGATTTTATACTTTTTTTATCATAAATAACTTGAGTTCTTTATATCTACATAATCTATGAGAACCATTTTCTAGATTTTCTTAACAATAAACAAAAACCTAAAAAAAACTAAAAATAAATAAATAAAAGAAACTATTAAGTAGCATGCCTCATTCAACAAACTATATATATCATATCCAAGCAAACCTTCAATAAACATCATATATCATAGATTCATGCATGCATGCAACCTCCCTCATTAGACACATAAATATAACACATAGAGCACACATCCATAGTGTCTTATGCTCCACACATATATGAGCATAGCATATATAATACCATAGATATAGATATAACAAGCTGATGATGATGATCAGTAGATGTTGGCCATCTCATGGATGGAATGGTCTGTCACTGATAATCCTCTTATACTGCTCAATAGATATCATATGATGTGTATCAATGGATGCTCCATTAGCACTTGGATATGCATCATCATCAATGCTAACAGTGAGATATTTATCACCAACACCATTATTTATATCTTTATTTTCTTTCTTCAAGTCATCATTAACAAACTTTGATGATGTCGGATTAGTGCTGCCAGCAGGACTAATTATCTTCTTTTCTTTGTTGTTCTTTACTTCTAATTCTTCCTTCAAGAAATTTGGATGATTGTGTTTGCTACCTCCAACTTCAACACGAGCAGAGGTGGTGAAAATGGCTGCCAAACCCAATGAGATGAGCAGAAGCAGAAGCAAGTGCTTCATGGCTGATGAGCTGAAATCAAAAACAAAGAGAAGAAAATTGATTTTACAAAAAAAAAGGATATATTTGCAAATAAAGTTTTTGTGAAGTACAAACTTGTTCTTGTTCTTAGGCTGCTGGCTTTGGTTGGAAGGAATATGAGTAAAGATGATGAATTTATAGAGTAAAGAAACTTCTGAAATGAATTCTATGAGAGACACATTGATCACATAGTGGAGATAAAGACTGCAATTTTGTGGGAAATTGTATATACTGATAATGCACCTACTTGAATGAAACTTAAGTGGCTAAGAGCTAACTGAGGTGGCTATAAGGCTGCATTTGTGGTGTGGCTTTTAAAGCCAGCTAATAAATGTTCGTGGAATCCCATGGAGGAAGTATCACTTGCGGTGGACCGCACGTCTAGACGATGATCCGAATGCGGTCATGCTGTCGTATGTCACACGCCGGCCCATCCAAATTATTATGCAGACATGCGTTGACAAAGTATAACAAATATAACATGTGTAATATGTACAACTTGCATGCACGATATATAGAACGTGTATAATGTTATATTCACATTTTTTGCATTGTCTGAGTGACACGGGGCGGCCCATCCAAATCATTATCTCGACACAAATATAACATGTGTAATATGTACAACTTGCATGTACGATATATAGAACACGTATAATGTTATATTCACATTTTTTGCATTGTCTCAGTGACACCGGCGGCCCATCTGAATCATCATCTCGATATGCGGTCAACACAACATAATATTTGCTCAGTCCCACGACTTTTTTAGTAAATGGTATATATATATATACAGAATTACATTCGAAATATAGAACGAGTATAAAGTTATATTCGTATTTTTTGCAATGTCTGAAAGTAATTCTACATATGGACTCGATCGTATGTAATATTCTTTCTATTTGCATTCGACAATTAAGATCTAAATTAGCTAATTGGTGTCTGTGTGTGTGTGTGTTAGCAGCACATAAACTTTACAATGATTAAATTTACTTAAAAATCTAATGTATAAATTATATCAAAATTTAGATAAAATATCATTGCTGATCAGTAAAATTAAACCAGTTTAGGATCTCGAATTGCTAATATTGCATGCATGAATTCAATATTATTGCTTTTAAGAATAGCAGTTTTTGTTCATCAATCAGCTTTTAAGAATAGCTGATTGGTGTCTGTGCATGATCATAACATTGGTCACTGGAGGATAGAAAGAGAGCTACTTTAACTCACTTATGTACATCGAGAAAACATTGTATGTCCGAATAATAACACGGATGGGCCGCGTGTAAAGGCATGGCGACATGGCCATATGTTGGATATTATACAGACATGCGAAACTCCGCATGCAATATTTTTTTCTTGGTAGATGGATTTCCACCGAACCATGTGAATCGTACGATGCATGTTTAATTGTTTGTTCGTTGTGTGATTTTTTTTTCCCTAC